ACATTCAGCTTCTTGAGCATGGCCATGAAGTTCTCGAACTCTGTCTCCAGCCTGTCTCTGTGCAACCGAGTAGGGAAAGGGAGTTTAGGGACATACTCCTTCACTACTGGTTGCGGTTCAGGTGCAGGCACCTCAACCTCCTACTCTACTTCGTGTTCCACCGCTGGAGATGCTACGACAAGGGCTTTCTTTCTCCGTTCCCGAGCAGGGGGATCAACAGTCAGCTTGCCACTCCTGGTCATGATGCATTGGCAGTTCTCGTGGGGGGGCGCGAGGATGAGGATGGTCTGCGGCTGGTAGAGTACCAGGCGCCCTATTGAGCCACTGCTTGGGCCACGCTCCCCAGCTGGGTCTGGATATCCTGCAAAACAGCCCCGTGTATTCCTCTGACCAGCTTCCAGAGCCAGGGAGTTGACCCGAGGCCTTCTCCATGAACGCTCAAAGGTGTTGAATTTCTGAGCACTAACACTGGCGGAAGAACCCCACCAAGTCCTGCAGTTCAGCCATCTATCGTTCTGCACTGGGGCAGTAGGGGCTGCACCTGGCTGCTGGAATTGCCCTGTCTGGGCTGATATGGTGCCTCTGGAAGCCCGGTGGTCCCTGTGGAGGTGGTGGTCTGGGATTTGGCCAGCCCAGGAGAAGTTAGGATGCTGGCGCCACCCCTCGTTGTACGTGTTGCTGTAGGGTGTCATTGCGCCTGACATTGTTGATGAGTTCACCTGCTCCTGGGGTGTGGTCGATTCCTTCATCGCCTGGCAGTCTTCCACCATATGATGGGTGCTCTCGCACCACTGGCAGAGCATCGCCTGCTGCTGTCCGGTCCCTGGAATCATCCCGAACGATCGATAGCTGAGACCAGCTTCGATACTACCTGCACCAAATCAGATGACTGGGTGCCCACAACATGCACACCCCCGGCCTGGTGCTCTCCCTCGATCTCCTGGCAGTGCCCCAATCATAACCATTCTCCGCCATCTCTTCAAAGAGTTGATTCAGCTGTGGCGGGGTTTTGGTCAGCATGTTCCCGCCACAAACCGAATCGATCAGCTGCTTGTCCTCCGGGAAGAGGGCGTGATAGAAGGTGCCCACCTTGAATGCATCGTTGAAACCATGATTGGGACACCTGAGAAAGACTGTTGTACCTCTCCCATGCATCCCTGATGGTCTCATCCTCATCCTGAGCAAAATGTGTAATTTGCTTCTGAGTCAGCTGTCTTGGATGGAGGATGGTAGCGGGTGAGGAACTTGTTCGCCAGGTTGGCGAACGTGGTGATGGAGCCCGGAGGTCGAGTGTCTAGCCACTCCTTGGCCTGCCCCTCCAGCGTGAATGGGAAGTACCTCAGCTGGATGGCATCTGCTGGTACCCCATTGATCTTGATTCCATCGATGAGCTCGTGGAATCGCCTGAGATGCGATCGAGGGCACTCTCCCTCCTTACCACGGAACACTACTGAACCGCGCAGCATGGTGATCACGGAGGTGCTCACCTCAAAGTTGTTGGCTGGGACCTGAGGGTGTTGAATGGGTGACCTCATGTCCGCAGCCCTAGCGGTCCAGTAGGATCCCATGGTCTGCTCCTCGGGGATCAGATCGTTGTTCTGCGGATCACCCATCTCGCCTTCTTCTTCTTCTTCTTCTAACTGCAGCTGTGACAGCGCCTCCTCCGCAGCCAGCCGCGCCTTTAGAGCCCGCTTGAAGTTCCTACAAGTTCGTTCAAGCTCCTGGTCTAATGGTAGTAGATCTCCCGACTGGCTACGGGTCATGCACTACCTGCACACATCAGAAGAACAACCCGTGAAGGCACACAGGTGGAAGAAAAAAATGCAGTAAATAAAAGCTAGAGTAACAAATTATCACGTTTCCCAATAACCTAGAGGGTCCCCGGCAACGGCGCCAAAAACTTGACACGCCAAAACACAACACCAAACTGCGACCAAGTGTAATCGCAGTCCGGGAATGCAGTAACAGGCAAGTTATATTATCAACCCGGGGTCTAGATCTACTGCTTACTCCGTGATTCTCTATTATCTAGCAAACTAAGTCGAGTGAGTTGTTTAAAGCAAAAGCAGTAAGAAGAAAGGAAATGGTTCGGTTTTCAAAAGCAGTTAAGAGTCACTCGGGATTGAGTCCCCCTAGCCCCTTAGTTAGGTTCAATTGCAATTCCCTGGGTTGATTTACTGTTGATTAGACTGCGGAAGATCCGACAGTAGCTTGGAATCTCTTAAGCTGACCAAGCCCTCTCAGTCTAACTACCCGGCAGACGACTAATCTTCACCGGGATAGAAAGCTGAGGCTATAAACACAGAACTCCACTACTGGCGTTAAGAACACCAGTACAAAGCAGTAAACTGGCTAACTCTCGTATAGCCAATCTCCTACTATCGAATGAAGAGCTCTAACAACCTAATCAGATTCTATCTATCTCAGGTTGAAGCAGAAATTGAAACAAGCTGATCAGACTCAAATCAATTCATGAAACATGCGTCATTCGATTAAAATCAAACAATAATATCATCCCAAGTCATTACAATCAAATCCCTAACATCAGGAACTAGGGTTCTTCATACCCAAGTGAGAGAAAGGTTCTACTCCATAGAGAGAGAAGAGGAAAACAGAAATCAGAGTAGTCATACTCATAAAGATGAGGAAAATCTGCTCTGGGATGTCAATCTTCACTCCTAGGGACGCAATCCGGGCTTCAATGATGAGAAATCCACTCCAAGATAGCTCCTAGGGTTTGTTCTTCGCTCTTTCTCTCTCTAAAACTCTGTTTTTGCCCAGAAAATCGATTCCCTCTCTTTGGCTGAAAATCTGCCTAAAAGGGCGTCACTGGCCAAAGCACTGTCGAGGGCACGGCCGTGCTTTGCCTCAGCCCGCCCGTGCTTTGGCCAGGGTTAATTACACGGCCACATGTTGGTGAAAACACGGCCGTGCTTTAGGAGAACACGCCGTGCTTTGGGAAAACACGCCCGTGCTTTGTCTCAGCCCTGCCCGTGTAATCAGCTCATGTCTGCCAAACTCGGATTTGCTCTCGGCAGTAAAAGCACGGTCACAGAACACGGCCGTGTTTTGAAGGCCTCCTGCCCGTGTTTTTACTGCCGAACCTGTTCCCTATATTCAATGCTTCGTTTCTCCCTCGTCCGGACTCCGAATCAGTCGCCGTTTGATCCCAGACGCTCGTAGTCTCGTCCTCTTTTTTCATGTCAACTTGCACGATTCTTTGTCCATAAAGTGAGGTAGAAATCCATTCTTCTTCAGGTCATGCCAGAGTTTCTTCTCCCGAATCGCCAATTGATCTCTGATTGACTTGAAACTTGCGCCTATGCTTCACTTTATGTGCTAGGACCTGAAATGTGACAAAGGAACACAACCTAGCGTAAAATAGGCCAAGGAACAATCAATTCGAGCCAAAATGGGCAGGAAACCAGAGTGAAAACACGTGCAATACGATGCTATCAAATTCCCCCACACTTAACTGTTTGCTTGTCCCCAAGCAAACCAAGTACTACACAAGGTAAGCTCACATATTTCAATCAACCAACATTGGGGACAAGTCATAAAGGCACAGAACATGTGAATCAAACTGGTTTTCAAGCATCAACACATGAACAACTTTAATAGCAACCTGAACAACCACCACAAAGGACATTCGAGTGCAGCAAAATCGAGCAACGGAAGAGTTTCCTTCTGTTCACCAACCAACCCAGACTTGGCTCGACCACTCACTCAAAACAGTCAACTCATGCATCCAACTCAAGACATCAGAACAGAGACCGAGCAATCTAGGTCCTCACCGGGGTACAAGAGTATAGAGAATATGTCAATGAATCACTCACTCTCGACCAGTGGGGTCAGGACAATTTGATGCGAAAGATGCGCATGCTATTTCTCTCAATACCTAACGTCTCTTCACCATGAATGCAGCCTCTAAATGCTAGAGTTCACATAAGGGGGTGTCACCACTAACTAATCCGAGGTCTTAGACACAGGTTTCAAATGACTGGCTAGGGTCTTGGACATGGGGAAAAGGCCTTTTAGGTGGTGGAAGTATTCATAGCAAAAGGTTCCAATTTTCCAAAAACACAATCACAGTCAAACAACCTGGTATTTTCTTTCTGCTATTCTGCATTACTCAATATCTTACGAGCACAAGAGCGAAGGAGGCATAAACACAGCATTTCCAAGCCAGACTGCTAAGAAACACTACTTACTGGGCATTATTCAGATTTTTGGTAGTGGCTCTCTTTTGCTTTCAATATCTTTGTTTTTCTTTCATTTTTCTTTTCATTTCTTAAGAGAGCCACCACTTCTGCATAAATTTCAAACACCTGCCCAACTTTAAGCACTACCTCCAACACTCACATAGACTTTAGAAACAGCAGAGAATATATAAAAACCACTCTGTGGAACCTTCTAAAAGATGCAACAAGGGTGATTTGTTTCATTATAGACCAAAAGAAGGGATAACACACGGCTCAAAGGGGCTGACTAGGGGATATGACATCAGGACAGTCAGTTTTTGGGTCGTGGGCTAATCCTATGCCCCCATCATCTTAGCTAGTGACAACGTGAATGCTACATTTCATGGAAGAGGGATCTATCGCACAAGAAAGAAACGAGCAGGCTCAAATCTCACATGGCTACCTATATGCTCTATCTCACATTCTGATACCCTGAACTAGATGCATAAACGACTGTCAAGAACAAGTAATCAGATCAAGTCAGATCAAGTCACAGTTGGCAAGCAAACAGTTGAGAAACTGAACCCTGATTGTGGTTATGAAATGCAACAAAGCACTTGTGTTGTTAAGCCCTGATTTCGGGACTGCTTGGAATTCCAGGTAACCAATTTGAAATTTTCTATATTTATACGGGTCTGGTTGATTTGAATCATTATGATCCGGAAATGGTAGATTCGCACCTGTGTTTTAAACCCTCTAGTTGCAGCTTGTTTATGCCCAATGTGCCCCTCTGTTCTTGTTTTTATTTTATTTTTATGAATGACTGTTCTTGATGCAAATGGCAGAAAGTTAATCGTATCGAAGAAGACACAAGCGTCAATGTTCACTGACGAGCTCCGCTTGTCTGCCCTTGTCCTTTCGTATTCACCCAAGAGCGAGCAAGCATGGAGCCATAGGTAATATCTATGAAGTACTAGTTGATTCTCTTCCTGTGTTGTTTATCTCTGAACTTCATGAGTTGTTAACTTGTTCTATGCATTTTTCCTTTGCTTTTTAGCAGGAGGTGGGTGATCAAGAATATGGCCAAAAATCGTACAACTTTGCAAGAGATTCTGAGGGAAGAATCTGACCTGGTGGAGAAGATAGCATAGGTTTATATTAATTTCAAGAACTGCATAATAGTGATTCATGAAGGTTTAACAACTTCTAATACTAAAGAAGCATACTATTTCCGTGACAATTGCATTACGAAATTTTAAAAATTGGAAAAGAAAAGGGGGAAATGAAAGCATTATCTTTGAAGTTTATTAATTTCATGTTTGATTGTGGGATCTTTCCAGACATGACTAGGTGTATGCATGTATTGTTAGACTTTCATTTTTCACTCCATACTAGTGGCTTTGAACACAGCTCTGGTTTACTAATTCTTGGGCGTGTGTGCTATTGACCGCTACTCTAAACTTTTTTTGCCTTGCTATCTATGCAGAGATCAAAGATGAACTATCGTGCATGGAATCATCGCTGCTGGTTGGTTTCTTACATGGATAGAGAACAGGTTCGTTTCTTAGATTGGGCAAGTTTTGTTATCTATAACGTCATGACAACTTGACCCTCATGTATGACTAGTATGTAAGAATTTCAGCCCACTGTCTTGAATTGGGCAGCTTTTTTTTTAACTTTCTCCTGGTGTTTATACATTCTCATTCTAAAACTTTTTTGGGTATTTTGGTTCATACCTGCTGATGCATTTCACAGTCATCTATGAGCTGCTTTATCTAGGTGTCCTGTCTGTCAGCTTAAGCAAAAATTGCTTTTCCAGGTGATACAGGAACTGAGCAATCCAAAATGTGGGCTGGGTTACATGTTGCTGATCATTCTTGCTTTCATTATCGCATGGTGAGTACAATCCTTGAACATTTAAAAGAGAGTTCATGAGAGAAAGCTATGTATAATTTTACGAGTATTCATTCCATGACATTTCTAGCATCTTGTCACAGTTTGAGTTATCACCTAATTGCAGCGGCTAATCATCAGAATTTTAGAGGATTGCTGTCGTAAGCAAGAAGAGGGGTCTTGTGATTCTTGTGTTGAAGTTTATCTGATCTGGCAGGTATAATGTCTGAACTTTCATATTCACTGCCATCATTTATTAACTCTTTTGCAATTAATCGAGATTGCACAATTTGTGAGTTAATAACTCTGATGCTGCTGTTTCTATCAGGAGGAGCTTGACTGGAATGAAGAATTAATAAAGCGTTATTTAGGAAGGGAGGTATTTTTCTCAAGCCCATTTAAAATATGTGAATATAGGGGATCTTGACAAACATGAAAATCGATTACTGCGTTCTGCAAATTAAAGTAGTTGTGGAATTGTTTCTGATCACTTTCTTTCCATTGTAACCTGAGTTTCCTCCAAAGCTAACTCCCACCCCAAATCCCTTTTTGTTCACAGGCTCTATGGCTCTACCGTCGCTTTCTCTCCTTATTATGGATAAGACATTTCACAAGCGATGTCAACGACGTGTCTTCCTCACAAAAAAGCCAATCTAGCATCCAAGTGAACGTTAGTGTGTTTTTGGATAAGGAGTTGCTCCTCGTCAATTCATGCTCGGAAGGAAGTGATGATGAGTTTGAAGATTTTGAAGAACAAGCAATTTGTTCAGCATCTTACATGTTATGGTTGACAAAGGTAACAAAATGTCTAGTTATAGTAGTTAATTGTTTTGGTTTCGTCAGGTGAACTAATTGCCTTGTGGGAATCTCTTTTGTACAGCAAATCCCTGAAACCCAGAAGTTAGAACTGAGGGAGAAGATAGAGAATGAGCGCCTGGACGCCATGTTGAAGTTGGTGTCCCTGAGAGGTCCTCCATTTGGGGCTATCTAAGATTAGTAAGTCTATTTGGCTGCCATGTACGCTGGAAGTGGATGGTATTAATTTGTTGGACGAAGTGTAAAGGTAACAAACTACAGTAACAAATAACTGAATAGTTGTCCACTTAAAAATGATCATGATTTCGCTCGTCTTTGTTTTGTCAAAAGACTCAAAACATGAATGGGCGGCGTTGCAGTTACAGCTGGAAGAATTTATGTTACCCGAGTCCCATTCCTTTTCGCGTGGTAAGTACAAGGCCCAGCCCAGCAAAGCAGAACATGAGTCGAACACTGCAGTTTTGGGGGATGACGGGAAGGGTATGTGCTTCAGCAATGTTCCCATGCTCAATCTCTTCTTCGACCTTTCATACGTACGTACGGGCACGCCTGTATCTATTGAGAGAGTTACAATTTACAAACGAACAGAAAGCTCTCTGACAGGCTGACAGACAACGTACTCGGGTCGACGGCGGCCCCACAACGAACACATCGGATACGAGAGGGAGAGGCCCGTTTTGGAAGTGGGTGGGCACCACGGTCTACCACTTGACTTACGTACGGGATAACTAGATGGAGTATGAAACCAGTCCAGTGTTCAAGCCCAGCTTGTTCATTGTTAATAAGATCGATCCTAAATGTTGGTCCATTGACTCTGCGAATATATCTTACTAATGGAGCAATCCAGTCTCGATATTGTTTTTCTAGTTAACCTCGTACGGATTTAATTTTAAGTATATTCTCTAAAAGATTTCGTACTAATTTGGACTAGATGAACACGTATATAAAAGGCTTTTTTTTGGGTTAATTGCAAGGATGGTCACTAGGTTTACTAAAACCGTTCATGTTTGGTCACTGAAAATATTTAATTCCATTCATGGTCACTAAGATTAGTTCAATAGTTCAAGTTTGGTCACTCTCCGTTAGTCTCCGTTAGTTTTTGCTGATGTGGCAGTCAACTATTATAGTTGACCGTTAAATGAGTGACGTGGCCATTAAAAAAATAATAAAATAATAAAATTTAAATATTTGCAATTTCCACCTCATTTTACAACTATTAAAATAAAAATAAAACTTACCTCCTTACACACTCCGCTCCTCCCAGAAATCAATAGTGACCATTCCCTCAATTTTCCATCACAACTGTCCATTTCCCCTCCTCTGTCCCTATTCTCAATCTTTCCTCTCTTGCCATGAGAGGATTCCCAGAATTCTACCACTTCTCCTCCTCAACAACATCCACCGTCACCTACGCCTTCCACGATGAAGCCACCCAACCGCTGCCGCCGTTGACCAAGCAAATTCCCATCCACTCCACCAAACCACCATCCACCGACACCAGATCCGCCTCCGCCGGTGCGACCAAAATCCAGGCGGCGTACCACGCCCGCGCAATCCGCCTGCTCTACCGCACGATCTCGGCCGTGGACGCCGAGTCAGGGGAGATAGAGCGGCGGATCCAGCGGCAGGAGACGGTGGACACGGTGAGGAGGGAGGAGAGGGAGAAGGCGAGGGTGAACGAGGTGCTGATGCGGCTGCTGCTGAGGCTGGACGCCGTCCCCGGGTTCGATCCGACGGTGAGGGAGGCGAGGAGGAAGAGCGAGCAGGCGGATCGTCGGGATTCAGGAGGTGCTCAACGGGATCTGAGAGTCGAGAGTCGAGGATTGGGACTGGGACGGCGGTGGCGGCGGGGAATTTTGTTGGGATCGGACGGTGGCGGAGATGGAGGAGCGAGTGTGTAGGGAGGTAAGTTTTATTTTTATATTTAATAGTTGTAAAATGAGGTGGAAATTGTAAATATTTATATTTTATTATTTTTTAATGGTCACGTCACTCATTTAACGGTCAACTATAATAGTTGACTGCCACATCAGCAAAAACTAACGGAGAGTGACCAAATTTGAACTATTGAACTAATCTTAGTGACCATGAATGGAATTAAATATTTGCAGTGACCAAACATGAACGATTTTAGTAAACCCAGTGACCATCCTTGCAATTAACCCCTTTTTTTTTGTATTTTCGATGTGGTACTTGAATTGCCTCACAACAATCCTCCTCTCAAGATAAGAACCACGAACTTCGTGTCCTCTCCTTAGCGATTATTGATCAGTCAACACTTTCCTCGACAAAAGGATTTACCAAATGTATATCCCCATTGATATGCTAGACAGACACAGATCTCCTTTGATCTTCCAAACATAAGCAAATCTCAAATCATGAGGTCACCCAATGAGGGTCTCACCAAACTGACGCCCATCATCCTGGATCCGCATTCTAATCCAGGCTCTGATACCACTTGTTGAGACTTAATAGTTCCATTAGTATGATATTGTCCCCTTTGGACCAGCCCACATGAATTTACTTTTGGTATCCTCCCCAAATGGCCTATTACTAATTGCTCTAGGTGGACCCTAATATACAAGGGTCTTTTGGTATCCTCCCCAGATGGGAAAGTAAGCTTTGAGGAAAGTGTGTTAAATCAAAATCTTACTGAAGAGCAGAATGTGGTTCAACAGGAAGAGAAAAGGGCAGAAATAGAAGATGTTGAGAAAGAAGCCGAAGGAAGAAGTGGAGAGGAAGTAAACATAAGTAAAGAAGTCAGAAATTGTGGAAAGAAATGGCAAAGAATGGTAAGGAAAACTCTCGGGGATAAACAACCAGACCAAGGAAGAATGGATATGGGAAAGCGTAGATTTCCTGATGAAATGGATATTGATGAGGCTCCTCTTGGAGAAAAGCGACAGAAACCCTTCTCAAACCCTGAACTGGATGGCGAATTGGCGGCCCTTGCCGAGGAGCAAGGCCGCCTAGCCCAATGAAAATCCTTAGCTACAACCGTCGAGGATTGGGCAGCTCCTCGGCAGTTGCTAAACTTAAAAGACTGCTCTGGAAGCAACAACCTGATGTTATTTTTCTAATGGAGACTAGAAAGGATGAAAGCGGGTGGAAAGATATTCAGCGTAAGCTAGGTTATTCAGGTGGATATGGGGTGGCGGCGAGAAACGACAAGGGATGGAAAGCTGGTGGTTTATGTATGCTGTGGAATGATGAGGTCTCGGTAACCAAAATCACTGCTACACTTCATCATATTGATATCTTAGTTGGTCAAGGAGAAGGAGAAGCAAAATGGAGGCTTACTGGTTTATACGGGTGGCAGATAAGGAAGAAAGGTTCAAATCATGGGACCTGCTCAGGGATTTAAAAAACGGCTGCTCTTTGCCGTGGGTTTGCATTGGAGATTTCAATCAAGTCCTTTCAGGAGAAGAAAAGAGGGGGGTAGACTTATAAATGAAAATCAGGCTATGGAGTTCAGAGAAGCTCTTGAGTTTTGTGGTCTTCTTGACTGTGGTTTTAGTGGTTATCCATTTACTTGGGAAAATAGCAGAGCAGATGTAACACCCTACCCTATACGTTTTGCCTAATCATATTGTTCACACAATTGCAGCGGAATTAATCTCGGGTGTTACATTAATTATCAAAATTTACCTAAATAAAATTTCGACATGAATTACTCGCGTAATGGGCTAACAGTTCTTGAAATTTAATCCTGCAAAATATTTTATCTCATACTATAAATCCATAGACATAGACATACACCCACAACCATATACATTGCTTCTCATATCCATAGTCACAGTTTCGTACTCTAAAACTATATACCATACTTATACATGTCATAATCGTCACAACTTACACAGTTACACAACATATAGACATATCATCAACTTTCTACACCTGTGGATATCTCACACTACATCAGAAGCTAGTATACACATGAAAAACGTTCTCAAAACATTTTAACAAAAAGGTGTGGATCACTGGCCAAAATCCCGAGTAGTAGTCCAATCACAGAATGGTTGAAGACCATACCTCATCTTGCCTTCAACTCTTGCTCAGCTCCCACCTATACACCTATCTACTGCTGCTGATGATGATCTGCTTACACATAGCATAAGCAGAGAAGAAGAATAAAAGAGGGTCAGCTCATAGCTGAGTGAGATAATCATAGCATCGTGAGTTCATAACATAGCATACCATTACCATACATCTAGCAAACAAGCCAAAACACTAGGATCAGATCTCAGCCCTCCAACATCCCAATAGGCAAAAGACTCAACCACCTTGACTTATGCATATGCATCTTATCATGTTTTACTTATAGGCGCCTGGCTACTCCCATGCTAATAACTCTCCCGGGAAACATACCCCACATCCCGTCGGATGTAGTCATACATACCCCAACATCCCGTCGGATGTGGTCATACATACCCCACACCACTATGGGTGTAGTCATACCCCGACACCGCTCTGGGTGTGGTCATATCTCGTAAGAATTCTTCAGTGACCACCACATGAGAGGTGTGACTATCATACATATCATAATAGAGTAATAGCATAGGGAGCCCTAATTACTATGTAGTTGACCGTGAGACCACAACACTCATATTTGGTATCCTTATGCATGATTCATATATCATCTTGCTTAATCATAATTCATTACTTGCACATGTACTTGACTTGGCCATAATTGGGTCAACATAGGTAAATCAGGAGTCGTATAATTGCACTTCCTCGGGATAAACCCTCGTGCAAGTCATCCTCCTTAAAAATCATAATATCACCAGGGAATATATATTTTCCCACTTGTGCATCCAAATACAACAATCATGAAAAATCATACCTAATCACCTTCTCGAACCATCGTAAAGCATATTAATAGTCAAGCCCACAATTTGCAACATATACATAATCATCAGCATAAACAAGGTTCATATCGATTAGGGCAAGTCAATAATATCATACAGCAATCCAGGGTTCAACATATAGCATAAAAGTTCATACACCCCTAATCATGCCATTCTAGTTCACCTAGATCAATTCTAAGCATCAATATAATTATCGTGATACGACAAACCCGGTATGCCGTGCTAATCCCTCACCAGTTCTGGTCGTTCAAACACCGGTTTAACCTTCCCGTACTAAAACGTCAATTTCACGAACGAACCCCGAATTAAAGTCCGAGACCGTCCTAATATCCCCTGCAGTATCCCCGTCAATATTAGTTCTAGGCTCCAGGTCAAATTCTTGATAAAAACACATCAAACCCTGGCCGGAGCTAAATTCAGCGATCCCGGCTCCGACCTAAATAATAGCCGAAATTCAGGGATTATAACTAGAGGATTGATTACCTCGCTGCAGGAAGCTCGTATATGAAATTTGGGCTCAATCCGG